TTTCGAGATCCGTCGCGGATTCGTCATCAGAGACATAGTCAGAAAGCAGTAGCAGATACGGGGTTTTAGTGAACCGAGCTGTTGCTCAGGTTTAAAACAAAATAGGACAAAGGAAGAGCACATTAAATAGGCAAAACTAGCAGGATCTGTATGAACTCCTTCTACGAAACTTAACTAGACGATGACTCTGTCCACCGGCTAAGTTAAGTACAACGCAGAAGCGTTTGCGATGAAGGCACAGATCGTACTTTACAGACAACTAATAAATACGCGGAAGAATATATTCACATCTATAATCCTGAGCTGTTGGGGAAAGGGGAGGATAGGGATCAGGCATGACGGAAAATAAAGACACCTTAAATGGATCAGGACGCCGTGACGGTGTGAATGCCGATATTGAGTGAACTTGTTTAAAAATAAAATAAAGGATTAACAACTAACATACCGATATTTTCCTGCTCTTTACAAGAAATTGAGTAGCAGCAGATTTCACGATCTGTTATCGTATTGAGGTTTAGGGCTTCTATAAGTTCCACTTCCGTCAGAGCACCGGGTAGATCACGTTTGTTGCCGAGAACGAGCACAGGAATGCCCGTGAGTTGTGATTTATCCAAAAGGGTGTGAAGCTCATTGCGAGAGGCTTCGAGCTTGTCTCGATCGGCCGCATCGACCATGTAGCTAAAAGCATTCAGGAATAAAAGTGCGGAGTAATATTTAAAGTGTTGGCATGCGGTTTGTTACATTTCAAGTGACCAACTGTTCTGCTGGTCAAGGTGAAAGTATACCCGTAGTGTCCTAGTTTAAGAAGCTATTAAAATCACTACTATGTGTAGTTAAGTTTTTTGGGTGATGTCGACCCCCTCACTCCAATTATCTTAAAGCAGGAGAAATTTGTCAAAAGATCCAAAAAATTTTAGTTGGCACAATGGTAGGAGAGCTAGAAAATTAGAATCAAGGCTGTCTTGCTTCTAATGTCAACTATTGCCCTAAAATAGGTGCTCGAACAGTCATGTCCTGGTTCAGTTAGCGATCAATTGTATGGGATATTTTGGATAGAATATCAAATGCCTAAGACATAATGAACAAATGCAGTCTCCGGGAAAGTCAGTTGTAGAAATCCGCTGTTTTGATAATTGGGGTGCGAAAATTGGGGAAAATTGTCAATAGTGATCGAAAGGATAAACTCCCCTGCCGAAGTCAAGGTTAGATAATCAAGCGTTTTCCTCACTCACACGATCACACTTTTACGGTATAATAGAAAGGGCTATAAAAACTCTACTCTGAGCTTAGAATTGGAACTAGATAGTTAATTTAGGAGGTCGTTTAAAGTATGTGGTGTCTTGGAAACCTAATTCCGGTAAAGATAACCAAAGATAACGATTTCGATCAGCGATCGCCGGACGTAATATGCAAAACTTTCTGCTGCGGAGAATGGTAGAATTTGTCATCAGTTTTTCTCAGAAGCCCGTGTTGCACTAACCAAAAAGGCTCAGAACAAGAAATGACTCGAAGACTTACATTATTGCATTGACACCGCGGCAATAACGCTCCCACATGCTCCTAAACCTTGGTTGTCCGCCGATGTCCCAGATCTAAGAAAAATTCCGGCCATGGCAAAAGGCAAACCTTAATTGTGACTTTTCCTTTAGTTATTTTCCGCATGTTAAACCCGACCGTTGGTATCATATCCTCGCAAAACTGACCACACTAATACGAAGTTATAACATATGTAGGTACAGGCATACAGCTATAACGTTTACAAATGTAGTCTTTCCAGCATACTGTAACCCAACCAGCGTCAGTTCCATTTCATCTTTCCAGAACAAACTTCTTATCCAATCCAAAATACGCTGAAAAAACGCAAGCATCCTCGAACAGTCAATAAGTCAGCTCGTATTTTCTGCTAATATTGAAATACATTAAAACAACAGGCAAAGGCTCGAACATGAGTTGTCCACTGCCCGAAGAAATCGCCGGGCTTACTAAATAATAAGCCGCAGCTGTAACTTTTAAAACCGGCTAAAACACAACCCTCCCAAAGTCTCGAATCTGCTAGGTCTTGATTTAACGCCTATATGCCGTTTGTCTTTGGAGCGCGAAATGATCTCCCTTATGAGGTGGTACGTTCAGAAGCCGTTGCCATTTCTGAATGCGAACTCAATTCTCGCTGAGAATTGTGTCTGTAGCAACCGTTTACGACTGGGTCATATATATATATCGATGGCGTTAACTTTACAGTTTTCAAATGTACTGTTTTATAAATAATTTTTTTGCCATTGCTTGATATGAATAGGCAGCTGGAGGGCGGGTGCCTCATTCACTCACTAAAGTTACTTATACACGAATACATGTCAGTATTCTGGAATAATCCGTAACTGTTGTAACAATAAGCCAAGCACGTGGATGTTCGGCAGTAAGCCATTACAATGAGCAGGTATTAAATTTGGAAAAATCTGCTAAATAAGCAACTCGAAGTATATTTATTTAAATGCAGACTACAGCGAATACATCCAAAATCTGTAACTCACCCCCATCTAGTAAGTATTAATGGAAAGAAAAATCGAGAAGAAACTAATTGAATACCCGAACGCGGAAGTAATTGCAAACCTAGTGACCGGATGAGGAACAGCAAATGAAAAGAACATTCTCTTCTGTGGAGAATATGTGCAGCCCTATAATTGAACATACCAACCAATATACGTTACTCATTTTAGGCAGTTAAAGACATTGTGGAATTAAGTATGTACTGGCTTATGTACAGAATTTCCTGATTACCCCTAGCCATCAGATCTGGTGCAAACTTCGAATTTTGTCTCATATACCTGGATATTTTCTACAAGTTTCGCTATTTTGATCGACTGGACGCTATTGCAGCTCTGAGACGTCAATACACTAGTTTGCACTAGTGGACACAACCAATAGCCACTTACACACCAAAAATGGACATTTTGTCGTTCGATTACGCCCGGTTAAGTGGTCAAATGCTCAAAAATTGTTAAGGACGTAACATACGAAGATGATAGTTGTGTTGTATATTTAAATCCTCAGAAATCCTTAGATCTAGACACTGACATGAAGCTATTAATCAATTCAACCATCAAACCACCATAAAACAAAACCCAAGCCACAGAAAATGTAAAAGGTATCATTTGTTATGTAACATCTGACGTGCTTGTACACAGGTAGTATTCAAGGTCCGCGATGCCTACGTCATCGTCAAATCCTTATGACAACAATTTACCTTTCTTGGGGCATGAAATCAAACGAGGTTCAAAGTTTTACGAAACAAAAACCCTCAAAAGTACGTCGCTTAAATGTATCTACACCAACGCACAGAGTTTAGTGTCCGGGTTAGATCAACTGAAAGTCCCGACATAATCGCTGACAGAAACCTGGCTGTCTGGAAAAAGTGGATGACCGCGAAGTGGAACTACCCGGTTTTAATTTGTTCCGAAGAGATAGGAGAGGGCGTCAAAGAAGAGGAATTATAACTTACGTCAAATATGGACTGCTAGTATCGGAAAACACAGAACGGTTTCCTTGCAGTACCGAGGCCATTTGGCTTGCTATATAGGTACCGAAATCACCCAGTTTGAATGTTCGGACCGTGTACCGTCCACCTAGACGTGATCCTGAGGCTAACGCTGGTCTCCTAGAGGAGTTAGCATGAATAAATGCTCGGCCGGACGTCTTCATTATGGGTGACTTCAATGCTTCGCTCATCGAGTGGAGTTCAACATAAGCACGTGGTCCAGAGAAAACATTCGACCGCCGTTTACTAGCCTTGAAATTCAGTTCGTCTCTCATTCAACACGTTCTATTTCCCACCAGGTTGCGTGAGGGGTAGCAGTCAAACTTGCGAAATCGCTGGACGGCATCGACGAGGCGCAACCTCTCCCTCCTCTAGGTCGAAGTGATCACGTCGTAATTCATTGGGACTATTCAATATTTTCGGTATCTGAACAGCTCACCAGGGTTAGAGGAAATATTTTGCATGGTGACTTCGATCAAATGGAGGCCGAACTCAACAATATTAATTGGGAATCGGCTTTTTCCGTCAATATGGCCGATGAGTAGGAATGATTTAGTGAGCAATTGCATATTTTCCTCAGAAACCACTGTCTGATTACACGGAAGAAGCTAAACAACAAACCCCAGTGGCTGACTCAACCACCGAAGAAAGAGATATATAAAAGACAGAGTTTGTGGAGGAAAGCTCTGGCAGGCAGAAATTTGACATCCATAAATGCATACAAAGTGCAGGGGAACCTCGTGAAGCGACTTATCTTCAGGACGCGCCAAGAGTTTAAAAAAGATTAACTGAACGGGGCAGTTACAAATCCTAAGATATTCTATGGTTACTTGAGAAAGACCACACGAAACATGGACCCAGTTCTCCTTCTGAAGGTAAGTAACGGAGCAGAAATTAGTGAGGGTGGAGGAAAAGCTGGGCATCTTTCAAAATTTTTCAAATCGAACTTAAGGACTGAAATCGGATTTATCCCTCCC